CCCCAAAACCCCAAAACCCCAAAACCCCTAAAAATGAGTTAGATAAAAATCGAAAGTAATGATGAAATTAAGTTAATTTAATTAATGATTCCTCTGAATGATAAGCAATTTAAGCTTATAGGTTCATTTAACTGATTTAAATGCCTTAATAACTTTTTCTAAATCTTACTAAGTGATGTCTCTATGAGTTACCATTCTTATTTTATCATGGTCAATGAAACTTGGACTCATTAAGATTTTCTCATTAAATCTCATGTGATCACTAAATGCCTTTGCACTATCTCCAAATTAAGAGTGCTTCTTGACTCTAAATATGATGATATTTGTCTTTACTGATTCTGCATTGATACTGATCCAGGGTAAGGAGCTAATTTATTAAGCTAAGTATTATCCATTTTCATTATCGGTTTTCATGATTTCCTTCCAGTCTTATAAAGCGTCTAAACCACAAATACCCAGGACTCCAACTTGCCTCATAGCTCCTCCAAGCATTTTTCTGATTACTACTGCATGAGCAATATCTTCCTTCGTTCCAATGACTAAACTTCCAATCGGGCAGCCAAGTCCCTTGCTCAAACAGAAATTAACAGTATCAAAATCTGCTACTAGATCTGCTGGATCAATGTTTAAGTAAGAAGCAGCGTTTAAGGCTCTGGCTCCATCCAAGTGCATCTTTATGTTATGCTTTCTAGCAATAGAGTTAACTTTAGATATTTCTTTCAAGTCAATCACCATTCCTCCTGCTAAATTGTGTGTATTTTCTAGGGCTACAACTCTTGGTTGTGCTAAATGATAACTACTAGGTGGAATAGCTCTTTTAAGCTGTTTTAAATCTAAGCTGCCTTCTTTGGTATTACTGACTACTATTGGATGGATTCCTCCTAAAGCTGAGATGCCACCTCTTTCTATGTTGTAAATGTGAGATTAATCTCCGAGAATAGCTGCCTCTCCTTTTACTCTACAATGTATCATCATGCAAATCAAGTTTGACATGGTACCTGTAGGAGCAAATAAAGCTGCCTCCTTTCCAAATAGCTTGGCAATTTGTACTTGCAGCTCATTTATAGAAGGATCTTCCCCATAACAATCATCACCTACTTTACTATTAGCCATTGCTTCTCTCATTCTTTTTGTGGGCTTCGTAAATGTATCACTTCTGAGATCTATATAACCTTCATTCGAATCCATTATAGGCCCACCATAGGATCTTTTAGTTGATTTCAAAAGGCTTGAAGAGCTTCTTTTAATGAATTAGAGGTTAAGTTATCCTAACATATTCATTTATTTTTAAATTATTTAATAACAAAGATACTTCCAAAGATCATAATAGATACGAGTTTGATGGGGTTTTGGGGTTTTGGGG